GCACCACCAGGATGCAATCTATCCTGTGCCAGCACAGCAATTTTACAGTGACTCAGAAACTCTCCTCATTTTGAAGTATCTCCAAAAAGAAGCTCATCTGCCAGAATCTCAAATTTCTGTAAGTGAGGAGCCTGTGGGCTGGGGTAGAGGGGCACATACTTCTGGGGATGACAGTGCCATGGACTGCTATGGCAATTTCTGTCAAGAAAACAGAGCAACAAGGCTGAACTGTATGCAGGTCTCACTCTGCTGTCATCTATAAAGAGTCTCTTCTGAGTCAGAAGTAAAGGAGAGGAAATAAATCCCACCTCAACAAAGAGGTGAGGAGGTGCAGGGAGAGAGCTCTGTGCCAGTCTTCTGTGTCCTGCAAGGGTTTAGGAGCTCCAAGAGTGGATAAACATCCCAAACCATTGCAATTTGCTCTACTTAAGCTGTGCCCATTTTAAGCAGGGGCAGGAAAGTCTTGAAACTCCAGTCAAAGCAATTAGTTTGTTCGGGAACGTAGAGGCAGGGTTGGGTTGGGGGGTGGAGCTGGAGCATCTGTAGGACTTGACAATGGTGGAAATTCAGCAAAAAATGTTTAATCTTCCACAGACTCATGAGTGAAGGACAGTGGCACAATAGAAACTGTGCCTATGGGTAGTGGCTGTAACACTGCCTGGGTGATATGAGCAGGAGGGGCTCAGCACGCTGAGCTTTGCCTCTGCTGCATGGAAGTTTGCCTTGCTCCTTGGTTTTTAGGGGCTTAAGTCCACCACATGGGATGGTTAATCTTTGTCCTGAAACACAGACAGCAAGCCTGAGCTAACAAGTGTTGTTGTTTGTTCCAGTGAGGAAGGAGACTTGTCTCACCACAGGAAGCCCCTAGTTGTGGGGCAGGAGGGACAGAGACTGCTTCTCTGCAGGGAGCCTGGAAGAAGATGGCATGTGAAGAGACTCTACAGGGGAGGCAAGCACAAAGCAAGGCCAGGCAAGCACAAAGCAAGACCAGGCTGGATTATCACTGTGTATAGACAGTCATTTTGGGACCTTGAGATGGCTCAAGACAGATGCTGGAGGACCCCAGCATCAGGTGGCATGTGCTCCTGAAGCATCACAAATGGTCACCATTGCTACCTGAACTGGAGTGGGGCTGCGTGCTGGGAGGGGCAGAAAGCTTTTCTAGTGCAGTACAACAGGCCAAGGGCTGTTTTGAATCACACAGATAAAAGTACTGTCTGGGGTTGGTGCCCATAGGCAGCCAAAAAAGCTAAAGGCTTTTTTGTACACAGATTTCTGTATCTGTGCAGAAATCAAGATGCATGTCCATACCCATGGTAGCCGGGACAGAGGGACATGCTGTGGCAGTGCCTAAAACAAGGTTTCCAGATCTGTGTGGGACCCCACAGCACTTCTATCCTCCCTGTGCCCTCCAATGCTGGGCACCCCACCACGCTCAGCAGTGCTCCACAGCACCTGCTTTGGGAACAGTCCGCACCCCAGCGCCCTCTTCCACACTTCTAGTGAGGGGAGCCACAGCCTGGCATCCATAACCTCATTTGGGAAGGGGGAAGGAGCCAAGGGAGGGTGCAGAGCCTGCAGGAGAGGGTGGTGAACCACCCTGAGGACACTGGGCCTCAGAGGGCAGGGCTGGTTGTTCTTGAGATGCTCCAGAGGGACAGCAAGAGCCTATGGAGACTTCTTGGATGCTCTCAGGGGCATACCACAGGCAGAAAATCCTTCTAGTAGCAGCAAGCTTCTGTCTTTGCTGATAACAGCTCCTGTTTGGCCAGATAGATCCCTTTCCCTTGCAGCTTTCCTTCCCTCTGCATGAGGGGTGTTGCTGACTGGCAAGAGGCTCTTGGCAGCTCTAGTTCCAAAAGCAGAAGTCCATAAAAGGTGAGGAATCTCACTATATTTATTGTCCCCTGGTGCTTTTTGCAAGAATACAGATGTCTCTGGATGCTTTCCTATGCAAGTCAATTTTTTTACAAGATAAACAGGCTTTTCTACAGCTGTGCAGCTCGTGTGTATAAGCATCATAGTAGTTGGTCATTGCATACTCAGAGAGGCCAGAAAGGTCCCTGGTGCTCTGCAAACGTGCTTCTCCAGATGGGCTTGAGTGCCAAAGCCTACGGAAAATAATTCAAGGCTTTTTCCTGGAATGACACCATCCAGCATTGTTTTCCCTCTTTTCTCTCTCTCCATTGCTTTCTGGCTATGCCCAGCTCTGTCCCTCCAGGAATGTAGCTGAGTCTCCTCCTGAGTTATGAGTATGGCCACCAATACTGTTGCACTTGACTCTTACCCAAGCATTTAAAAATAGCTGTAACAATAACATAAGGGCTCTGGTTCTCCAGTCCCTGCCCATAGCAGAAATAGCGTGATGAGTTTACAGACTGCAGCCAGACTCGTGACCAGAGCGGGCTCAAGGCCTCCCCTCTCCCTTTTGTCGTTTAAGGAAGCGATGAGAGCGGGGAAGAAGATGCACAAATGACTCTTGTGATCGTCCCTCATCCCAGGGGCACCACAGGCTGCCTGGAAAGGGGTGACACATGGACAGGCACCTTGTTTGGAGATGAGGGATTCACATCTCTGGAGGGAGCGGTTCCTGTGCTGCCCTGGCACGGGTAGCAGTTCGGGTGGGCTCAGCCATGTGACACTGCTGATTTGCAGCTCTTTTTATTTTTTTTTGCACTTTTTTCATGTTTTCAGTTTGTGGCTGGGATTTGCCTCCACTCCTGCTGACCCCTGAAGAGCCGGGAATGTGGTTTTTCCAAGATGCTTAAGGCTGTCTCTGGTGTGTTCCTTCTGCTTGTCCCCAAGCGCGTTGCAGTGGCCTGTGGAGTTATTTGGGGGTCTGCCTCTGAATGTACTTTGGACCGTGCTGCAACTTTTCCTTTGGTTAGTGGGGTGATGAAAAGCAGTGAGAGCAAACAAGGCAGGTAGATGGATGGAGGCCAAGAGTTTAAACTGCTGTTTCTGGCAACATTTCTGAACCCAGGCCTTTATCAGAGATGCTCCACGTCCTTCCCTTGTGAGGGAGGGTGGGGAGGCTGGCAGGAATGAGGAGGAGATGGGAGAACACTGGCATGAGACAGGGGACCCAGCTGTGGCCCACTGGGCAGGCAGGCACAACAGCAAGACGTGCCTGAGCTGGGGACTGTGCTTCCTCCTGCTGCCTCCCAGCAGTGCAGGTGTCTTCTGGAGGAAGGCAGTTTGCTTTTGCCTTCGGAGAGTATGGTTTAAAGACAGGGCTGGTGCAGAAGAGCAGGCATGGTACCCTTGGGAATACTGGCAGGTGTCTGGGGCTCAGTGGAGCGGTCCTTCCTCTTGCTGCTCACCCACGACTCCTCCATGAGCGCTGGGCACACACACATAACCTCGTTGAAGATGCCAAAAAGCACACAGCTGGCAGGGAGTAATTGCATAAACAGGGCTGGTGTTTACCCTGTGATTTAAGCCTTGCCCTAAGCAAGCACTGCTCCATCATTTCCTTTGGAAAGCTCTGTGAGCAAACAGTTATTTACTGTCTGTTAACCTGAGCAGCTACACAAGTCCCATTTGGCTTGATAATTACTTTAGTGACTACAATTCATTCTGAAGAAGCAAATGATGAGAGCAAAATACCAACATCACCTTTCAATAGAAGCAATTACTGGGTCAGAAGAGCTGCTTTGCTTTCACAATCCACTGCCTGTGAAAAGCACATAAACGTGACTGGCCATGCTTGCTGCTGGCCTGGGGAGTGTAGGAGTTTGACTCACACTCATCCGGGAGGGTGCTGAGCACCCACAGGGAGAGTGAAACGGCAGCATGGCTGGCCAAAAGCAGCACAGGGTGTGGCGAAGTGCCAGATTCATCTGAGAGCAGCACAGGGATCATGTTAGATCCATGTTAGTTACTTGCTCTGCCACACATCCCCTTGCACTGGCAAGTGGGAATTCTAGTGCCTCTGGGCCTCTACAGACAGTCATGCTGCAATAAAATCAGCCACATCCTACCCTTTCTCTTTTTGCCTGGTGGCACGTTTCTAGCCTGGAGTTTGACAGTCAGACACTGCTGTTGGTGCCATCCTGACCGGCTGTGTGGCTCCATCCTGACCTTGCTTGGCAGACAGGCAGGAGCATGGGCAGGACCCTGGGAGCACACACACCCCACCAGGAGGCTCAAGGAGAGCCCCACTGGATGAAGGGAGTGCTTCTCCAGACCTGGGTTGAGCTGGTGTTTGAGTTCAGCTGTCAGAGCAGGACCTCCCAGGCATCATGGGGAGGGTTTATTTGGGGACAACTCAACAGAGGCTGCCTGAAACACAGGGAGGAGCAACATCCCCGGGCATGCGGAGACACTTCTCCTCTTCAGTGTTGGCTGAGCTGGGTCTGAAATGGCCCGTGGCACCTGGACAGGGGCACAGTCAAGCAACTGCTGAGAGCAGCCCAACCTCCCGATGTACTTGGTGACCTCACGGGGTGTCTCAGATCTGCTTTGGCACCCATGCACCCTGCCCTGGTAATGCATCCTCCCTTATAATTAGCTCGTGGCTTAACCTAGAGCAAGTCACTGTGAGGCTGTAGCAACAGCATGAGCAACTCCATGTAACTAGAAGACACAACCAGAAAGAGCTGCTAAGTACCCTGGGTGCACAGGCACGGCTGTCCTCAAGCCTAGGGCAAGCCAGCACTGACTAGGGACCCAGTACAGGAGCAACACCTGAACCCAGAAGGGTGGGTTGCACTGCAGCTTTGTCCCTGGGTGGTTTCCTGCATCCCCCTGAGGGTGGAGTGGACTGTGAGCCCCAGCTGTATGGCAGCATACCGAGCCTGAGGCACCATGGAGATGGAGCAGGAGGAAAGGTGAGAGATGGGGCAGGAGAGGGTGTGCAAAGCACCACTACCCCTGTCAGTGGCAGAAACACGGTGAAGGCAAACCAATGAGTAAAGGAGAGATGGGTACAAAGGGGAAAACAACTGGAGGGGAGAGAAGGGTTTTCCATAGAGAATATGCAGGAGCAGTACTGGGTCCATCAGGAATCATTACAAACTTTATTTCTCTGTGCATTGTGTACCATTGATAAGGATCATCACAATTAGTGGGCTCACTGCCTATAGTGGTGGGCAATACACACAAACTAAAAAAATGAAGCCAAACAGATGAAAATGAAATCATTGTACATAAAGGTAATCATAAACCTGAACAACCTGCACCTTTGTTTGATTCTTCCCCCAAAACAATGAAAAACAAAAAGAAAAACCCCTAACCCAACCAAAAGTGAAAAAAAAAAGGCTCGAGAAAAAAACCCCCACAACTTCATATTCCTAGAGAAAATCTTACAGCAGATTCATTAAAATTTCCACAGATAGTTCAAAATGAGTACAAATACCCCCAGCCAGCTGGTTATGGTACAAGCATCAGACATGGTTTTCAGCTGAATGGGAAGAGCTCACCACGGACATGCAGGCTGGGAGTTTGCCTGGCCGGAATGTGAGGAAGCCTGGCAAAGGGCATAGGGTAAGAAGACATCTCTCAACACCAGTGCACAATGTCTCCTTTCTGCTGTGCCCTGGGGAGCTCTACACCCACACTTCCCTGGCTCGGCTCTCTACCCCAACCTGCACTACTAGCACGGGGGGTGATGCTGAGTTACGCCTCCCTGTCTCATCCTCCCCAGCAATTTCGGATTCGGAGAGTGCAAAGTGTGGCCTTTTCCTATAGGAGATGCTTCCTGGTTGCACTCAGCAGAATGGGAGATCTCTTTATGGCCCTTCAGCCCTTATGCTGAATTACTCTGCCTCCAAATGGCTGTGGGAAAGGACCAGCTTTGTGGACTGATCCTGATGGCTTAACACTCAGAAACAGGGGCTGTCACCAGACCTCTGGGGATACAGGGAATAGCAGGGGACCAAGGGGTTTTGAGGCAGCCACCGACTATAAAGGCAGAAGCACGGGAGATGCTGGGAGTCAGCCACGCTTGTCCCCCTTGGACTGCTCATCCCACTCGGGCTCCCTGGGACCTTGTGTAAAACCTTGTGTGGATAGTGGGAGCCTTCACACTGGCTTCAGCATGTCAGAGGACCCCAGCTACACAGGTAGACAGAGCCTGCAGTCTCTGGGGTGTGGGTTTTCCTCCCCTCAAAACCTACATCTGCGTGGCTGTTATTGCTTCTCACGGACCCATGCAACAAGCAATAAGTGGGGACAGCTTTCCATCCTTTTACCCCCTGCTAAGAGGAAACAAACAAACAAGCAAAAAACCCTACGGCAAAACCAAACTAACTAAAAATAAATAAAACCCAGTGAAAAGAAAAATGCTTGTATCTGCAATGCTCAACCCACATGGTTGGAAGGACTATCGCTATAGGTTGCTATATACAGATAGATTTCATTTCATTCATGCAAATGTTACAAGTACCACGACAGCATGCCCGAGGAGGCGGAGGAAGCGGGAGGGAAGCCCCCGCCACCCCACACAGCCTCAGCTTAGGACACTGGACACGGGGTTGCGGCTGTGCATCCCCAAAGCATGGAGAGGGAAAGGTGAGGGGCATGTGGGTGGGAAATGCTAGTTGTACACACGCCAAAATGAAACAAAAAAACCAACCCCAAATCAATGACGAAAACGGTTTGTGTTCTATCCTTAGAAAGCTCCCAGTTTCCCCTTTGCCTTCAGTTTGGTCTCTTGCTTCTCTCCAACAGGGCCAGAGGGGATGTTCCCGAGTGGCGAAGGCAGGTGGATGGCGGTTGGAGATCAGAACCCTTTGCTTTCTTCTCCTTCCCTTGCCCACTGCTCTGTTTCTCACCAGCTACCCTGGCCTTCCTCATACCGACGCACCCCGGTCACCTTCATATCCATCTTCCCAGGTGGCTGGCGGGTGGGAGTCAGCGGTGGAAAGGGGCTCGGTGGCCATCAGCTGCTCCTGTTGGTAGAGTCGCAGAAAGGGCCCTGCTGCCTGGCTCCTGGCTGGGGCCACTGCCTGGGGAGGGGTCCTGCTGGCTTTGGGGTCCTGCCTAGTTCAAAGGATGCTCCAAAGCCGCTTTCCATCAGCAGGTGTGTGAACATGGCAAATCTCTTTTATTCTTTTTCTCTGTTCATTATACACAGCATTATATCTATATCTATACCTATATATCACTCTATATAGATATATATAGATATACATATATTTACTATCTCTTATTGTCCTTTTAGAAGCCCTTTATGTGGCAGTAGGCTTCCAGAGATGAGAAGAATATGTACAAGAGCCAGAGGAGGATAAAGAGTGAGGATGTGAGCAGCTTGGAAGTCCGCGGCCCGCCCAGCTCACCTCCAATCTCGGGTCTCCGCCGGTAGAGCAGCACGCCCACACTGATAAAAGCAAAAATGGTGAAGAGGGTGACGGAGAAGGCCAGTGTGCCGGGTGAGACTTGGAAGGCTTGTCCGTGCGCCGCGTGGTAGATGGCTGCGATGGACCAGGCTACCCCAATTCCCAGGAAAACGTTCACAGCATTGCTCCCGGTGACATTCCCGATGGAGGCGTCTGCATACTGGTCCTGTGTTGCTGCTACTTTGCTGGCAAATGTGTCTGCAAAGGAAAGGAAGAGAGAAACCCTCAGGAAACATCCAGGTAAGGAGGGAGAGCAGCAGGCAGCCTGGGGACAAATGTCAATGGCGACACCTGGGGAAAGAAGATAATGGGTAAGGGGATAGGGTACAGCCCATTCTGTGGGCACTCCTGAGGAAGAGCACAACTGGCCAGAGCCAGAGTGACAATCAGGGTCCAGAAATGCACAGGAGGGAAATCTCAATGTTCAGCAATAGGAGGCTTCCCCCAGTATGGCCTCAGACGTCCTGCAGTTCTTCAAGCAAGAGACAACACTACACTGCATTGGCCTCTTCTCCCACATCCACTAATTTGTTCACTTGCAAAAAAACTGGAAAGGCTGGAAAAGTTTTGTGGAGCCACAGTGGTTTGTATCTATCCTTCAGGTCCCCTGAAGTTTTTTTTGTATTTCTGAGTTTGCTTTAATGTTGTTTTTCTGATATCTTTTGCCTCACTGAAGTCCACTGACCTTGACACTTTTGGTAAACCAGAGGTCATCTTTCACCCCTTGGGAAGAAAAACCATGTAGAATGGTGCATGCTTGCCCAGGTGCTCCACTGGCTTTCATATCAGTGATAAAACTTGGCTGACCTTTTATATGGAAACCCTTGTGTCAAGCAGACCAGCATGACGTTGCTCTGCACCACAGGGAAGTGCTGATTTTACATCCAAACCCACTCTGGATCTGCAGGGGGAGGCAGCAGCAGGAGGGACTAGCCTCCAGGTGAGCGCTCTCAGCTAACAAAGAGAAGATGAGTCTCTGACATAGCTGCACTCCCAGATCACCTTGGGTACAGGCAGCCAAGTGTGGCTCAGAAAAAGAAAACAGTGAGGTCAAATTTCATGTGTTTTAATTCCACAGAATTTTCCTTCCACTCCTTCCCAGTGGGGCTCCAAGGTGAGACGGCCAAGTGCAGTTTGGCACAAAGATCCCATTCCATGTAACATATGTGGGCACATATAAGCACAGAGAGAGGGTTCATTTGCAGCAAAGAAATCAAAAGGCTGCTTTATTTAGATAAAAAAGCACAGCTGCCATGGAAATGCACCTGGTTGCTAAGGAAAGGAAAAGGTATTTCCCTTGGTTCTCAGCCTTGGTCACGGTGCAGTAACGGAGTTGTGGGGCAGTACTGATGCCTCTGTGGCTCTCCAGCTGCCAGCGTGGGAGAAGGAATGGGACACTGCCAGTGCCAGGCAGAGCGTGGAAAAAACTACATGCACTTCCACAAGCCTTAGCAGTGCTTCCAACATAGGGAAGGTCTGTGTCAGTCTTAATTTCACTGCACACCCCTCTGATGCCTACCTGACTCCCGGAAAGCAGGTGTGGAGAAGCCCAACTAGCACCCAGCTAACACAAGAGGTCTGGGAGCCAATTGAAACAAGAGAACCTGAATGTATTCTAAAAAGAACTTCTTAAATGCCACCTTTTGTCGACAAAAGCAGGAGGGAAGATTTTTCACTGTCAAGGGTGTGAAGCAGCCCTGCAAACCTCCTGCCTAAAAGCTCTACCACCACAGGTCTAAAAAACGCTCCTTCTCAAATCTTCTCAGATTTGGGTTCCTTGCTCCAAATCTCTTCTTCCTTTTGGTTATGCTGCTTCTTCTTTTTGCCTTTGATAACATTAGGACAATTTCAGGATCTCTGAGCATTTGAGTGCTGGTAAGTGGAAGTTTGAAGGTGGTGAGGGAAGGTGTGACCGATATGAGGGGGGGTTGGGTTGGGTTAGAGCCCCTAGTCCAGGAACCAGGCTCTGCCTGGCCAGCACAGCCCATAGAAGAGGTGAGTGGAAGGCATAGGCTTTCTCACACAAGCTGACATGGGAATTCCCAGAGCAACTGTGCCACTGGAACCATCCTCTCCAGTGCACCAATTCATCCCTAAGTGAGCCAGTGGAAAAGGAGGCTGGGTTGCAGCAAGCCAGAGTGCATTGGGAGTGGCGTGTAGGCATGAAAACTTGTGGCTTTCCCTCTCCCTGGTCAATCCTCAGTCTCTGCTCCCTTCTGAGTCTGAGTGCCCATTTGATCAGACACCATGCCAAATATTTGTGAGGCCCCTTCTAGGGGCTTCACGAGTTGCATTTCAAGCAGCTCCCCCAGCTCAGCAACTTCACCTTGATCCATCTGAACGTGGTCTCACACAAAGGTGTCCGTGCTGGGCAGTGCACCCTGGGTATGGACTAGCACTTAAATCACCCAGGAGCAAGGTTAAAGCAGCAGATGTGTAAAAAGAAAGTGCAGGACTGCCAACACCAGCAGCATTTGAATCAAAGACCAACCTCCTACTCTGAAAGTGGATGCCACGCAGGCTGACCACAGAAATAGGTACTTCACAGTCTTTGCAAGATGAAGGTCCTTGAAATACTTTCCATGGGACTGAACCCACATCCTGGTTCTATCCTGGCTCATCTGAGGCTGAAAAACAACTTCCACACATACCTCAAATCTGTCCTTCAGGGTCCTGCAGAGCACAGCTTTCCCAGCCCAAACCCAGACCCGGACTGGGCAGAGGTGGGCCTTTACAACAAACCCCGTGGTTGTCCTTACCTGGCACCGATGTCCCCAGTGCCACAAATACGACGGCGGTGACCGAGTCCTTCAGGCCGATGGTGCAGCCAAAGTGGGATGCCAGGTCGCCAATGAAAGCTGTCAGGAGGCCGATCATGAGGATGGAGACAACAAAGCAGGCCCAGCCATTCCAGTAGTCTGTCGGGGGCACGAAGGCAAAAAGGACCTTCCAGAAGACGGTCAGAAAGTGCATCACATAGTCAAAGCAGGAGGGCAGCTTCTCCTCCCCACATTCATCGTCGTCGTCATCCTCCCCTGGAGAAAACCAGCAGTGCCTGATTAGACTTGCCTACTCTGGGGGAGGTTGGGCAAAGCTCCTGTGCATACTGCAGTCTATAAAGTGCCGTCTCTCAGGATTTGGATCCTAGAAAGCCTTGACTTTCAAGTATCTTATTTTCTGGGCAACCATCAGAGGGGCTCGATGGCCTTTCCATGCCCCTTCCCACAGCACAGAGAGACTCCCTGCAAAGGCAGTGGTTTAAAAAAACCACCCGCACTTCAGAAAATGCAGAGCCTCATGCCAGCACCTCTGCCTGAGTTTAACCATCAGATGCTTACTGGGGCCTTAGTCCCTGCTCAAGAGCCCTTTCCCCAGAAGATATGGGAAATAACCAAACTCATGCCGGCTGGAGCTGACTGGGGCAGGTGAACCCACTGAAAGCAACATGTACCTCACGGAGACTCCCCTAAGGAAGAACCTTTTGATCTGCTTTCACAAGTGCCAGCTGGTTTTGGTGGCTGATGAGCTGCTAGCTCTGGTGCTTCACCTTACCTTTTCTGTAAACCAGGATCCAACCATGGATTTTTGCCTGCCCTAGAACCTCCCTAGCCCATCACTGCTGACTGTCCTTCCCTGTTGCATTTCCCTGCCCTTTCACATGCCTCCCTATAAGCTCTGTCTGCTCGTTCCTCTGTGTCTGGTCTGACCCAGGTCAGTGGGCACTCCCAGTGCACAAAAAAGCACTTTCTCATTTGCGCTCCTTTCCAGGTAGTTGTCAAGCACCCCAGGTCATGAGCCAGTTATGGGGCATCATCTGTCACAGCAAAAATGCATTTTCCTTCTTCTTTTTATTTTCTGTCCCTGGTCCATGTCAGTGTTTCACTTCTTACCAATCTGTTGTTAATGCCTTGCAGGGGTCATTTTCCCAGTGTGAGCCTGCCAGCAGTCATGGCTCTACCTCTGCTCACCAGGCACATTGCGTGGGTCAGACCCTGCCTCTCCTGGTGCTGTGCTGGGCACTCAGCCCCTCCCAGCCCACCCCTGCTCATGGCTGTGGTCCCCGTGGCACCTGCAAGACCTGGTCTCCAGTATGGATGAGGAGTTGGGGATGAGTCCTCATGCCCATCCTGCCTGATGTCCCAGGGGCTCTTGACCCTGTGGGGGAATGCTGCTGCATGTCCCCAAAGGCTCTCAGGGAGTTACACATTCACAGCCATGGCCCTTGGATGTGCAGGCAGGCTCTTGTCCAAAAGCCCTCCTGTGGGTCACAGGGAAGGAGTTCAGCAGACATCAGACTGTCCTTACCCCCTGCCCTGGTTTCTTGGCCCTTTCCCCTTACACTGGCCCAGTACATCTTCGTCCTGGCAGGACCATAGGGTGTTGGTCCAGGCAGGTGTCTTGGTTTCTCCCTTCCCTGCTCCTGGCATTGGCAACTCACCTGTCTCTCCAAAACCAGTCGGCATCCATGGAGCCCGCACTGTGTGGGGCTTACCCTGCCAGTGAGCCCATTGGGGCTGGTGACCTCCTGCCTGACTCCCACAGGAGTTGGCTAATTAAAGCCATGACCAGCCAGGGAAAAGTTCTACTCAGCATCTTGTGGGGGTGCAGCTTTGCAGACATTGCTTGTCTTCAAAGCACTTTTGCTGTGTCTCTACCGTAACTTGATGAAAAATTATGTATTGCTTGGCTTCAAAGCTTCAAACTCACTGTGACAAAAGCAGTAGCTAATCATCAGCATCGCGTTATTGTTTTGGCAGATATAAGTACCTATTCCTGTGCCTAGTCATGAAGTTTTCCAGCCTGGAAAGCCTACATGGGCCTATGTTTTTCCTCAATGCACAAAGGCTGAATAGTGGCAGGATACACTGTGCTGTGCTATAGTTTTGCAGCAGGTATTTTAATCCCCTGCCAAGCTGCATGGCAGCAGGGCTGTTATGGACCTAAATCTTTACAGAGATGATGAAACAGATTGAAAAATGAATATGAGTGCCACTGCCATAACACTCATCCACATCTGCCCATCGTTATGTTGAGCAGCTCCCTTTTGAAGAGCTGGCCAGATCCTGTGAAGGTGACTTGAAACGCAGAGTGATGTCGGATGGTGACCCAGGGGTGCATTCAGGAACAGGCTCGCAAACCCCAGGATGGTTTTGCTGTGGAAGAAACTTTACAGCTGTTGGGTGCACACTAGAGGAGCTATGGGTGAGAGGCTCACGGACAGTGTGGAATGGCATGGCATGGTGTGGCACAGCCGTGCCTGCACCTGCGCTGCCCTTCCACAGGCTTAACCTGCTGCTCCATCGCCCAGTCTCCCTGCAAACACTGCTGTAAGTTGCACATTGGGTGGGAAATGGGGTTTTAATGTTTCTTTTCTCAGCTGGGATGTTACATTTTTAAATGGGAATGTGTGACTTTCACCCGCTCTCCATGGTGAGCTGCAGGGAAAAACCTCAAACTCAGCCTCCAGTGTCTAAGGTATTTCAACTTGTCTGGCTGAAAGGTTGAGGAGCTAAAGCCTGGGTATGTCCAGAGCTCAGAGATAACCTACTGTTTCCCAACTGCAAGGCACAGTTAATGTCCACCAAAATATATCCCATTTATTAAATGTTTGTTAATCATCCTGTTAGCATTGATCATGACTATATATTCAAGATATGGTGGTAACAGGGCTTTCACATAACTGTAGTCTTTACATGTGTCACAGAAATAGGATCCAAGCATCAGTGATTATCTTTGCCTTAATATGGGATGCAATTAAATAATTAGTTCTGGCATAGATTAGTTTAGCCATGTTAGCTAGAAAACCTGCAGCAAGGATTGTCTTGCATGATATGTTCAGGCTGTATCCAAAATAATGGGAGGCTCTTGCCTGGAGGCTCTGAGAAAAACTATGCTACAACAGAAGGGATCGCAATTTGAAGAGATAGCTGCTGCACAATGTCCTGTCCTTGTTTTCAGAGGCAGAGGTTAAATGGGACGGCCATCACTTTTAATTACTCTGTGCTGGGCAGACGTTACCTTGTATAGCTGAGTTCGAGGTAGGAAATGTAAGTGCTCCCCCATGCATTTCAGTGCACAATTAGCTAGATGAGCTCTAACTGCCATCCCCAGAGATTTAATTTAAACTGGTTGATTTTGCCTTAATGTGTGCACACAGAGCCCAGGCTGGGCTGGGAGGTTGTAACATCCAGTCAGTGAGTTGTCGTCTCTCCGTCTGTTAAAACAACATCTGGAGGAGATCTTCTTTCTCTCATCTTCCACAGATGTGGGAACAATAATATATCCTGTACTGGGCATACTGGTAAACATGGCACTGGCACCTGCGGGAACTGTACAACAGGGCATTTCTGAGGGAAAGACAATTCTCCAAGGGAGGGAAGATATGATCAGATATGATCAGACCCAACCACAGCTACTACATGTTGCTGCAGTTATTGGGATGCTGAGCCATAAACCTCCAGCCGCAGGTGGCTGGAGCAGGAGGAGTTCCTGAAAGCAGAGGGTGTCAAAGGTAAATTTTGGCTCTCAGAGAGTCACTGTCTTCAGGGCTTGGCACCCTCAGTACTGCGCTGCCCTCAGTGCAGCGGTACAGGGAGAACCAGGGATGGGGAGCACTGCTGCCTGGCACCAACATCATCTGTGCCTGTCTGAATTTCAACACTGAGTTCATCTCCCAGATCTCTCCCACTGAACTTGCTTTTCCCCTCTGCCGTCTGGTGACAGCCAGAGTGTTGCTCTGTCCAGCACTACAGACACACTTAATGCATCAGGTTTCCTACACATAAGACAAGGATTTAATCAGCTGCCTTATTTATGCAGATACTGTAAATAACTCTGTTGCCTGTTCTGCCTCCTGCTGCTCCTCTACAGCTGTATTACTGATGCAGCCAAGCCGAGTAGTGAGCAAGGCTGATTGTAATTCACCTGGAGCTGTGGTCCAAACTCACCCGCGCTGACAGTAATAGCCTCAATAAACTGCTCCCTCCAGCTGTTTGTGCCAACCACCAGGGCCAGGTTTGTCTTCTTAATGAGCTTGTCCACTGTGTTCTGTGGATAGAGATGCAGAGGAGAGAATTAGGGACTATCAGGCTGGAGATACTGGGCTAAAACCCACTCACACTGGTGCTTACAGCCATGCATTTATAGAAAAAGCTTAGCAGATTTTAAGCTCCGGTCAAGAGCCCCAGCAGCAAAAACAGCAACTCTCCTCTCTGCTGCTAAAAAAGACCTTTTGAAGCCTGCTCATGATGGGAGTTTGAAGCATCTCAGAGACACAGTAAGGGCGGTCTGTTATTTTTTTATACTTCAGAAAAGTGGAAAAGAATTAAATGGCCGGTTTTCAGCTCTTGGTCTGGCACATGCATTCATGGCAGCTGAGCTGCACAACCATTACCTGCATTTAGGGTATCAGCCTTCTGCACTGGGAGTCCTAGGCCTGTAAGTAGGACCTGTGTGTAGCACACCACCGTGAGAACAAGCTTATGTTTTAAAGCAACCTGCAGCATTTTGGAGCTCAGTCAGCTCTTATGCTCACCAGACTGATGTTCTAGTATAATAATAACAACCACAAAGAGTCTGTGGGTGGGACAGAAAGTCCCCAAAGGACCATGGCTGTGGGCTAAAATGGACAGTGAAGATGCAGAGTGTATTTTAACCCACTGCCATCTCACTGTTGTGACCCTCAGCCTTTCATCATGCCTTGGCTCAGTCACCTTCCAAAGTGTCCCTTGGTCCTGCTCTGAGACCCTGTGATGCCACGCGTTGCCTCGCTTTGCTGCAATACCATCAATGTGTGCTTGCCAATGCTGTGCCAACCCAAAAGGAGGGGCCCCAGCCAGAGGGGAAGAAGAACAGGGACAGAGGATGTGGACAGTACCTTGAACTCGTAGGATTCCTCAATGATGATTTCGAGTTTGGTGTGCTCCCCCAGGACTGGGCGCCCCATCTCTGCAATGCGACGCTCCTCCTCCTCCTTGCTGGTCAGTGGCTGCTTTTCCTCATTCTCCTCTGCAAAGCAAAGAGCCCATCAGCGAACCAGGCCCAGCTGGTCACTCTCTGGATGTGGCTTCCTGTCAGAGGGGGAGGTCAGGAAGCCTCCATGTGGGAGCATGAGCGACAGAACAGTGGAGAAGGAGCTCATGGAGCAATAGACAAGATAGTTTTAGGGAGAAGCACTAGCAAGAGGTCTGCAACTCATCCAACCTCAGAAGGAGTCCTGTTCATCCTTAGTGCTGAGGAATAGTTTTATGCCTGGTACCTGCTGCCTCTCCACAGGGATGCTGGGAAGGGGAAAGACTATCACTAGGGCCGCTCCATTTCCCAGCACTCCAGGTCTGCAGTGGGGTATGGTCAGGACAATTCCATCAGCCTGTTACAACAAGAGAGAGCTACCAGCAACCCCAGGGCTGAGACTCATATGAAATCTTGGCTCTGCCTCCTTCTGAGCAGGGTTTCGCCTCAGAGAGGAAGCTGGCAGTCAACTCCTGCTGCGATGGTGGGGCTGGAGGAAATAATACTGGGCCATACGGGTGTGAGGAGTCATCCAAAAGCCAGTGCCTGGCCCCAAACCCTGAGAGAGGCAGCAGCAGAGGGACTACACGAGCAGTGAAGCAGGTCTGCACCTCCACTGGCATCCCTGCAACCTCTGGGGCATGGGGACTGCAGCTCATGGCCTTTGTCACTGTCCCTTGTGCAGACCCCACATAACTCCCTTCCAGTCCACTCGAGGGATGAGCAGAAGAATGTCAGGACTAAAAGGACTGGAGTTAAATTGTCACTAGGCACACACCACGGTCAGTCCACATGGGATTGATGTGGCCCTCAGGTGTCACGCTATAGGTACCTTGGATGGAGACCACGGTGCAAGGAAGAGGATGATCTCTAGCCTGGACCTTCCTGAAGATGGGTTTTCCTATCAAAGTGATCAGCAGGACATCAGGAGGAGGGACTGGACACCCTGTGCAAACTGTCACCGTGCAGTTAGTAAACTATTCCTACGTCACACGGGGTTAGTGTTGCTCTCTTTCTGGCTGCCCCTCATCTGCACAGACAGCAATAAGTTGCAGGAAAGCCCTTCTCCTCCTGCTTGTCAAAGGGACCCACCTCACTGCCAAAGCCTCCTAGGTCTCAATTATTGTTTCCAGGGCTCCTGAGGGGCTGCTCTGCAATGTGTGGGACCCAGGATCTTCTCGTCCTGCAGTGCTTGGCTGAATGACAGATGCTTGGCTGGCTAATGACAGAGGAGCAAGCCCTGCTGCTGGGTCTCACTGGTGGGAAGGGCAGGGGCCAAAGCATCCTGCCCCTCCCACAGTGCTTGGGCACCCTGGTGGCTGCCTGGGGAGGACAGAGCCCTGTGCACACCTCCCGTGTGGGCAGCACGGAGGGGACAACCGGATCAAGTGGAGAAGCCCACCTTGCTCCAGGTGATGAAGTGGGGCTGCTTGTCACTTCAGGAGTGACAGCTCACCCTCCCCGAAGTGGAGTTAGGTGTGTGTGGCAGGCAGAGCACTCTGTGAGAGGACACTGTGTTAGAGGGACCGGCCGGGGCAGTGGGGCCACAGCTCAGCGCCTTCTTACCATTCCAGAGTTTCCCTCCAGGACAGAACAAAAGCAAAGAGGAAACCAAGAGGAAAGAGCAAGGTGAGCATATGGCCATTAAGAGAAAGGAAGCGGGGGATAGGGGGAAGACTAGAAATCCATACCTGTGATGGTGAAGCCACCTAGATGAAACCAAAAATGAGAGAGAGAGAGAATAAATGAGGATTAGCATTCACACAGCAACATGGACACCTTGCAGCCCACAGGGTGGTCCTACCCTGCTCCATGGCCAGGAACTGTGGACATGGAGGCTGCTTCTCAACACGTACCCCAGGGATAGTGTGGGGAGACCTGAACACAGGCTTTTCAACCCACATCTGCAATCTGCCACCCCCTGGTATCCAGTATATGCTGTGGAGGGGGTAAAACCAGTGTGAGTCTGCCCCAGGGCTGTGGGTGCTTCGGGGAAACAGGATGGCTTTGCTTCCCTTCCCAGCTGTCCTATCCTGGAAATGACCAGCAAGGAAATGCAAAGGCTGGATAGGCTCTGAATCTTCCCAAGACAGGAGGCAAAGTTTGCACTGTCTCTTCAAAACAGGACTGGCCAGTTTTCCTGTCCAGCCGCAAGCATCCCTAAGTCTCCAAGAAATCCTGTTTCTGCCACACCAATGTTAGAGGGGATGGGTTAATTTGGATGCCACAAGCCTGTATCATGGCGTGTTGGCAGGTATACTATGGCCGTAACTGAACCACCCCCAAAAAATGCTCCTTGCCACAGCGGATTACCACTCATTAATATCGGTGACTTTGGGACTCGACTCTAAAGAGAGATGGGGCATTAGATACCTGAGTTTACTTAAATAGTGCTGATGACCCTAAAAGAGAATGCTGCGAGCAAAGAAAAACTTCAAGCAAAATCAATTGTCTTCTGAAAACACGCAAACTGGAAAAATGGAAAGGAAAAATGAATGCGCGCTTACCAAGCTCATTCAACAACAGGGCTGTGAAGGAGACAGAGACAAACACAGAAGAAGAAAAATAAATGAATAATGAAATCAAAAGGGATATCCACAGAAAGACACCAGATCCCAAGGCAGAGATTTCAGATCTGTAAGGCTGCAGGATACCATTAGTGTTAAGAGAAAGGCACTAAAAATAAAGGAACAGAAAGGTTTCATGGGATTGTGGATTTAAAATAAAAACCATTGCAAACATGGGGTGGATATGGGATTAAAAGACACACTCCAAAAATTAGTTTTCCCACTTTGAATTTTATGTGCAAGATCTTCCATTGGCCTCGGAGGCAGTTCTGCCCCAGGGGAGGACACAAGATGTCCCATGTGCAGCAGCTACTGGCTTTGACCTCCTCCAACTGTCTAATGGGGAGCAACATCTCCAGCATACAGCTGTACTTTTGTCATATGCAATGAGAGAACAAAAGTCTGTGGCAAGGCTTGGCTCAAGGATCTTGTTGCTCAAAATTTTAGGTCTCCAAAAAGAAAAAGCCTCTCGCTTAGTGCGCCGGTGGGTCTCGCACCCCTGAGATGCAGACCCCCACACAGCTCTGTGGCCCAGGGGTGACATTTCAGAGATGCCCTTGTCTCTGGGCTGCCCTTGTCACCACTACCCCTGCCTCTCTGCCTCTTGTACAAAACCAAGTACAAAGAAACGAGTTAAAAATAAAAAAGATTGCATGGCCAAAGCAGCAAATAGCATCCCTTCAAATTCTGACTTGTCTTCCAGCCAGTGAGTTCTCAAAGCTCAGCTTCTCTCAGTTTTCTTCAGTTATCTTTGTGACCAGGAAAATGAGAAACTTTATTTCCTTTTCCTTTTATTTTTAGCTAAAACTTTCAGCTGGGATCTACAGAGTTAGTACCACAATTCTCAAACTTGGCCCTGGAAAGCATATTTGCCCTTGCTGGACTTGCAAGGCTGAGCCCACACTGGCCCTTGGGAAGCTGGGCAAGGCTGGAGCTGCTGAGTTGAGTTGTCCACGTGTAAATTTATCTTGGCAACATTCTCTATGCTCCATAGATGCCACCAGCACCATCTAATGATACAGACCCCACCTGCAGTGCCTGAGTCATGCCAGTGTATCTGATTTTTTTAGCCCAGCTTTTGCTAGCTGGTCACATAAACCAGCAGGAAAGCTGATGGAGGGGATGACGCAGCTGACCTAGACAGTACCTGAGCTGAAGAGGAACGTGGCAAGTCCCCACTCAGTGTGGGGCCCTCTCTGTCCTGATCAAATAATATATTACAGCCCCATGCCTACTGAAGGGAGCACTGATGTCCCAGAAACTAGAAAGCAGCTCCAAGGCAGACAGAGCAAATTAGGCTGCCAATTTTCTACAAAGGCTTTAATAATGGTCCATATCTTAAGCGGCTCTAAAACTGCTTCTCGCTCAGCCATGAATAGCATGCAGAACTAGCTGCTGCCATTAATTTTCACCCTATTTTCCAACAGAAAAAAATACGTGGGAAAATAGGTGAACTCTACCTTTTTGGGAAGTTTTGCAGTTGGTTCAAAAATGTAATGAAAGAGGAAATTGTTTTTATTATTCCTGTGAGAAGCTATTATCCAATGCAGAGCCATGAAACTTCATTTGAGTATAACCTGATTTACCTAAAGTGATTGCATCTCATGGTACTACCTGCTTGTGCTGTGATTTTCGGCTATTTTCAGATCCTAGTGCCAGCATAAAAAGGCTAAAATTACTGCTCTGGCCATGCATTTGATTTCAAGTGAAAGCTGTTTTATCTTCTGATAAAAATGATGCAGCGTTGCCTCTTTACTTGTCGAGACTGAACGTTCTACATGATTAAATGAAGGTGTAGCTGCAACGTGGCAGGGCAGTTACTCTCAAAACATCTCTGGGGGCTGGCAATGCTCATTGTCCCCTGCCCAGGTGCTCCGGGGCCATCCTGGGAGCATGCCTTGCTTCCCGGGGGCCCTGGTGAGTGAGGCAGAATCCTCTCAAAATGACAGAGGAAAGAAAACAGAGCAAAAAGGTGCAGCGGCCAAGATTCGGAGGAGGGAGGGCAAAACGGCCAGGAGCCAAAGTGCGAGGAGAAAGGAGTGTGAGAGTAGGAAGACACAGAGAAAGCGGACGGCAGCGTCTCGAGAGCTGGTCTGGTTTTACTCTCACACCTTTCACTCCTCGTCGTAGCCACACTGGATCCCCAAGCACAAGGAAGAAACTGCACTCTTTCTCATACTCCTCACGGTCAAGTACTCTAAGGGTAATGAATTTCCTGTGGGAACACAAGACAAAGGCAAACACATGATTGGCATCGCACACACATGCAGTTCACGTCCGCCCGGGTGCCGTGGTGACAGAGATGGTTGGGTGGGGGAAAGCGGCTGCACATCCCTCCTGGGGCATATGGGGAAGGGCAGGAGCATCCCCACCACCTGGCCAAGGTTGTAGCTTGGTGAGCTGGGGAAAGGCCGTGTTCAGAGGGAATGGGAAGTGGTCTTGCTCCTGCCCTTTTCCATAGGCTCTGGGGATGTGAGCTCGGTGTTGCAGGTGCCAGACATGAGTGAGCCAGACAGGGACACACAGGCTGGGCTCAGCCCCGGAGCACGTCCCCCACCTTTCTTCTCACTCATCTCCACCAGCCGGGGCTCCCCGATCTCTAGGTAGAAGGTCTTGTTTTTCTCATACTCCTCATCATCTATCACCTTGATTGATATCGTTTTGCTGCAACAGAGAAGAAGAAATAGAGATTCAAGAGTAAGGGGGGAAAAGGGAAGAGGGAAAACAGGAAGAGGAAGAAAAGGTAGAAGAGGAGGAAGAGGAGGATGGAAACAGCAGGAGAAGGGGGCTGCGAACAGAAAACAGTGGTTTTGGTAGCACAGGCTGGAGGGACAGCACAGCCAAAAGCAAAGGCAGGAGCCAATGGACCAAGCTTGCCTCAGGATGAGCACAGACCACAGGGTCAGAGCACCAGCAGCTTGCAGGGTGCCATCCCCCCTGGCATGGCCATAGGCCAATACAGCCCGGGCCAGCTTCCCCTAGAAGTGGGGGGGCAGTGGGGGTAGCAAGACACCTCCCTTTCCAAAAACCTAGGGTACAGAACAGCCCCTTGATAGCTTGCACACACTACATGGGCATGAGAACTGGGAACAAGCACAGACCAAGCCTCTGAAGGCATGATGCACTGCTCAAGCTTGTGCATGGAAGAGACTCTGTCTCACCAGGCACAGCAGATCCATGCACAACATCATGTTCAGCTGCTCGGTTTGGACTTTGGAGGCTCTAATTTACAAGCTTGAAAGAGATGTTGGAGTAGGACTTTTTCTGTGAAGAGAATGTAAAGGAAAAATGGTCTTTCTGGTTAGAGCAGGGTGATGGAAAGCTTCTCTGATGGTGAGATTTTACTTTTTTAATTTCACTTCACAAGCAGCACATCCTTTCCCAAGCCTTCAAGGTTTAATTTTCTCCTGTTTGAGAGTTGAGCAGCAATTCTCCCTCACATGACCCAGGGTTGCTGAATTTGCCCCTGCAGCATCATCAGGACAGGTCCAAAGGCAGAGTCCCTGCCCAGAGCATAGCCACAAGCACACATCACAGAAGATGAAAGCCTTGCAGGAGGCTGTGGCCACCCACAGAGAGGTTTGCTCCTTGAACCCCCAATAAAGTGAAAATTGCTTTACCAGGGGAAAAAAATTAGCACAGAAGAAGTTTTTCAGCTCTTTTCAGGGACTGAAAACAGCCCAGAAACATCCAGCTGAAAGCAGCTTGCCAGAAGGTGACCAAACCTGGGATACAAGGGGTATGGTGTGGGGGGACCGTGCTACTGTGATCCTTCCTACAGTGCAAAGTCCTTGGAAAGACAACATATGAGACAGAAATCCAGCAGCCTCTGCTCTGCCCTGGAATGCTCTGCTCACTGTCATGCACTCATGGCATTGCAGATGGGACAAGACCTCCTCCTGGCTCTGATCTTGTCCCAGACAAAAAATAAGAAGGAATAACAACACTAGAAAGCCAGTGCAGTGACTGTCTGTAGCCTTGTGCTTGCTGCCGACCTTCTGACTGGGTTTGCTTTCCCCTGACACTTGACAGCACTGCCCTCCTGTGAATGCTCTTAAAGAAGCTTCCCAGTTACTCTCTCCCTGTCCAAGCTTGTCTGTCTTGTCCTTCGAAGAAATGTTTCTTGTCCCATCCCTGGCTCCTCTGCACTTTCCACGAGCAGCCAGCACAAGTTGAAGCAGCCCCAAGGCTGCTCTAATATATGATCAAGGAGGTTCTGCTGCTCCTGGCAAGTCCCAGCACCGAAAACCCATAAACGTGGAAGAAAGCCACGCTCTAGGGGAGTGAAATTCAGGCCATGCTGCTGTAATTTCTGGCTTTCTCCTCTCCTTGCACATCTGCACTGGCCACCCAGAGCCCCTCTGTTAAGCTGACAAGTATTTGGCAGCAGAGTCAACATTTTCTACTCATTCGGGGTAAACACCGCAAGCACTCCGAGGAACAGCCAGGATGATTTCTTGTACTGTTTGCTGTGAGTCAGGAGTGTATTAAGTTTGCCCTTCATGCTCATAATGAAACCATTTACTCAAGAGTAAGTGATGGCTGTGAAAAGTGTAACAATGCAGCACCGCTCGGTGTAATTGTATTTTATAATGAATATCTGTAATAATTTGTCCAGTTTGTAATTATTGCTGCAATAGGTTTGTACACAGGAAAAATGGTCACCAAGCACGCAGCTGATCTTGCTCTGCCTTGATGAGTTAGGGGAAATTATCATGTATTAAAAAAACTAATGAAGGATATAAAAATGCTCTTAGCTAAGCTTTCAAGGAGAACCTGGCGGAATTACTGGAATGGCACAATTTCAGAAACATTACTAACAAAATCAATAATTCTCCTGACAATGCCTATTGAAATGTACACCTCATCCTGCCCTCATGTATGAAAAAATAACTTTTTTCAGGAAAGTTAATTAAAAGGGATGCCTTCTTAAATTCTGAGAGCAGCAGAGGTATCAAAATGTAAACTGCTTGTGGGTGTGCTCTGGCTTGCTGTGTGTGGCATACCTCAAAGCCCCACAAAATAATCCTCTCTCTTATGAAAAGAAACCAGGATGCCACTTAAAAAGGATTTTTCTGATACTTAGACCCAACACCAATAGGACTTCCTTGAATAATGCAGAATAATGGGGCATAAAGTGCCACTGCCAGGAGGAGGTGTTATTATGCAGTTTTCCAAGTGATCATTCTAGGGGGTGAACAAGTGCCCTGTGTTAGGTAGATGTGCCCTGCTGCTTTTTCTGCTGTAGAAGGCTGTTAGAAAAAAGGGCAGGAAGAACAAATGCCAAGTCCACTCTCTGTATGAATCTCCAATCAGCAAGAATTGCTGAGGCAAATTTGTCCCTGGGATGAGACTGCAATCCTGGAGAAAAGGATTACCTCCTAATGGTGTTTGAGAAGCAGCAAGTATATGAAAATAACACAAGCTATTCTTAGAGCATGCCTGATCTGCATCACACTGCCTTTTGCCTGCTACAACCCCCCTCTGCAGGGTCCTGCACGCATGTGGCCATGTGGCAGTGTCTGATCAGTGGAGAAGGAGGAGGATCAGGCAACTGCACAATTTATCCTGCCTCAAAGTAAGGACTGCTTTCAGTAGTAATCTAGGATGTGCACTCATATCACCCTGCTCTTCCTGGACCCTTCAATATGGTCTCTGCCTCTCACTCCTGCTGTAGAGAGGCGGCTGTGAGGATGTGGGCAGCAACAAGCTACCATGGGGCTGTCTGTGAGTCTGTGGAATTCAGCCTGTGTTCCTGGTGCCCTCACCTAGTCCTGTGCTCCTGCTGCATTCGGGGTGCAGCTCTATCAGCCTGCTGCCCACAGTCCTCTTTTTCAGAGGTTCGGGTTGCTGTGCGAGGCTATTTTCTTGCATTACAAGACATGGCGGGAACGAGGCAGAGGTGGGTGGCTGGCAGAGCCAGGACAGCTTGGCTAAGGCTCACAGAGCGATGTGGACCGACTGCAGCACTGAGCTCTGCTGAGCTGCCCCTGGACTTTACCAGCTAGACACAGTAGGCTGAAGAGACCCAAAGTCCTGACAGCGCAACTACACACTGAAATTTGGATTTAAAATCTCTCTCTCCTGTGGCCCAGAGGCTCTTTCAGCACAAGCTGTGATAGTGCTTGTACAACAGAAAACCAAAGGGACACTGATTATCACCCTGAAACCCCCGGTGCTCAGTCACTGCAGGGCCAGGAACCAGGAGTCCCAAATCCATGAGACAGAGGGAAAAATCAGAAAATTAAACCATTAAACATTTTCTTCTCCTTGTCAGAATCTGTGGTCAATCTTGATGGTGTTTCCAAGACGTCTCTTCTAGATAGAGGTCTAGAATCAGCTTTGATTTGGGGCTGACAGTGGTGTGTGTGCCATAATCTAATGTCTCCAGGAGCCAAACACTCCAGATCCCATGACTGTGCAAGACCACAGCCCTTGAAAAGATGGATTTTTTTCTTCCTGTTTTGACACTGCAGGTGGGAAAAAGCAATTTCTGCATGGGGATAGAGGTCCTGTGTTGGTCTAAACAACCAGCCTTGACACCCCTCCCTGTCCCTTCCTCCCTGCCTCCTGCAGGGACCCCCAGTGATACCATGGGCAAGTTTGCAGCAAAGCACAGCTGCTGCTGGTCCGTTTCACCTGAGCTAAAGAACCCTGTTTTGGCACGAAGACTGAGGGCCCATCCAAATGTCTGCACTTCTGTACCAGAAACTGCACTTCCTTGAGTCTGTAGTCAAAGCAATTGCTGAGGGAATGAGTTTCATCGCATTTCCGTGTACTGGAAATCAAAGAATAAAACACATCTTGCAGAATTGCAGCTCCAGTTCTTCTCCTCTTGCAGACACCCAGCAGCAACGAAAGAAGGTTGGTAACTTTGGCGTACAAAGCTCTGCCCTCACTCCAAGTCCAATGCTCTCTGTCAGGAGTCATTTCAAACCATGATATTTCATTCGAACCATAAAGGTCTTTTATCAGAATGTTCCCACACAACCCTTAGTTACAATATCCTATGGAAAAGTCCTTTTGGCTGGTGATGGGGCACCAAAGAAGAGCTGATACACCCCATCAGACCCAATGACCGGCCAACACAGCCTCTTCTTGTGCTAACTGCCAAAACCACCTTGGAGTAGGAGGACAGGCACATAGACATTATTTCCAACTGATCCTCTCCCAGCCCCAGGCATCTGTGCCTCAGGGGTTTCCTAGCCAGACCAG